ATGCATCCCTGTCGATTTGTTTGAGTTCACCTCCATCGTTTTGGCAGATTCTGACCAGTAGTTTCACTGTCATGTAAGTAAATCCTCATTCCCTTCCATCTCACTGTATTCTCTTTTCACATTGAATATTATCAATTTTATTAAAGTAATTATGCGACACTGTCAATGTCTTTATGAATCATTACTAAATGGCAGTTTTCAAACACATATTTCGTTTTGAGATGGTATCTGTTTTGACAAGGAGAGGGAACGGAGATCTCCTGCACTCAACCTCCACATGTCGGCATTTCCTGAGAATAGCAGCAGTGCCCTACAGATCTACTGCCACCAGGAGGGAGTGAAGGTAACTCACCCGTCTAAAAATGTTTTTTTTTTAACCTTCAATCTTGTTGTTAGGCAATAGTAAATTTCCACATTTTCTTTCTGTACAGGATGTAATCATTCCCGAGTTGATGAAAAAGCTCGATATTCTGGGAGACAATGGAGTTAGTTTGATCATTATTGTATTTTTAAAGCTAAGATTAATGATCAGTCTACATTTTTCTCATAAATCTTCCTTTAAATTTTTGTAGAACCTCAGAAATGAGGAGCAGGTGGCAGTGATCCAGGCTGGCACTGTGATCTCGCTCTGTGAAAAGGTGAATCAAAGCCTCTCTGACTTGTTGCGTTTTTGGTGACACTCTGTGGACAGTTACCGTACTGCAATTGTAACATTAACCTACTGATTAATCTATTTTAAAAAATATTAACGTTTAATAATCGCCTTTGTCTTTTGATGCACAGTGGTTGAAGCAGGTAGACAGCACTGAGGCAGCACTGACTCAGAAGATGATCGACCTTGAAAATGACAAAGTATGAAACCAATTCAGACTTCTGTTGTTTTTCAACTGTTACCCATTTTATAATTCAAGGCAATAATCATATTAATTTCTAGAGTGATAAAAAAAAAACATAAAGCTAACTTATCATTAGTATTTTTTTAATATTTATATCAACATCCAGTATTACATGCAGGATGCTCATTATTTTGAGTATTTTGCTCTCTTGTTGCAGGAGTTGTTCAGTAAGCAGAAGGGATTCCTTGAAGAGGAGCTGGATTACAGGAAGCAAGCATTGGATCAGGCTTACATGGTATGAGTCCAGTAGGTGTACCATACCATTTTGGTTACACCTGCAGTAGTAATGCTTTTATTAGTAAATTGAATTAAAACGTGAATAATTTGATGAAAGCTGTGTGAAGAGCGTCATTGCTCTATAAACTGGTTAAAACATGTAAGGGCACAACATTGTCATTTCAGCATGTAACATAAACATTGAGGAGCCCATTAATTGTCATGAATGCAACATGTTTCATAGAAATAACATTTCTCACATTGTGTTGGGATACTGCATCTTTTATAACATAAGTCTAAATTCTGTGATTGGTTTAGGACACTCAGTTGGCTGGGGTAATTACATGCTTCTGGCCAGATCTGATTTTTCTCTTAGATGAAGGCCTTTTACCCACTTAATCCCTGTTCATCATCTAAGCTGCATATGTTTTATTACTATTATTGTTTTAAGGTATTTTTCTCAACCAGAGGTTAATTAATTCAGGAGAAAATGAATTCATTAACGCAGAGAAGCTAAACCCATGTTCTCTTTTAATTTAGTTACACATTGATTTAAGAGAAGTGAAGACTTCAGTCAATCTCCATGTTCTAACCATTTTATTTATTCACTTTTTTGTTTAAGGTTTTATTTGATATGTTTTTTCCTTTGTTTTAATGTATTATTGTAGTCTGGACTGTTCTAGTGAAGAATGAGAATGTAAACAGTTAATGTTAATAAAAGGATTGCTTCATAGTGTTCAAATCTAAACAGGAAGCACTATTTGCTGGAATGGTGTTCCCTATATCTCACATGGTCACAGTGCTGTGTGTATGTGCGTGTGTGTTCCTGTGCAATCTGGGTTTCCGTTTGTGTGTGCTGCCATGTGCATGCCTGTTTGTTTCTGTGCATGTGCATGTGCACCCCTGCGTGTGTGTGTGTGTTTTTGTACCTGTGTGGACGTGGCTGGCTGTGCAGAGGATCGAGGAGCTGGAAGCCACGCTGTATAGCGCTCTGCAGCAGGAGCAGCCGGCATGCCAGGCGGTGGCCGAGTCGCTGACAGACAGGCAGAGGGAGGAGCTGAGGCTAGCTGTGGACAAGTTGCGCCGTCAGATTCTCCGGCAGAGCCGGCAGTTTGACAGTCAGATCTTACAGGAGCGTATGGAGCTCCTTCAGCAGGCTCAGCAGGTAAGGCTCAAACCAAACCCGGTCAGGTTGTCGAGTCCTGCCTGTCCTCAGTCTGATCACTGATAACGGTCTGAAACCTGATGCCACCAGAGCTCTGGTGCTTTGAAAAAGATGCAGTATCCCTCTGTGTTCTCCGTATAACTCTGAAATGGAAGAGCAAAAGATGAGACAGACTCAAGTTATTAATGTGTGACTGTGTGTGTTTCATTGTGAATATAGTAACCTCACTCCTAGTAGTATTCTCCCACTAAAGCAGCACCTCTTTGTAGATTTACGCACTTCTGTGTTTTATTTTGTGTGCACCTGTTATTCATTGACCACATTAACACCTTAGAAGTCACTCAAACCTGTTGTACTCGGACTCATTACCATGACAAAATCTAACAAAGGAACACTAATACATCATAAATGCACAATACTAACTCACTCTTAATGTCTAAACAAATAGGTCTGAAGCATATAGATACCCGTTAAGTATAGATTCTACTGCCTGGGACAAAGAAAAGTGCATCACCTTCACTATTCAGACTTGGATAATTTGATGAGAGCTGTGTGAAGAGCATCATTGCTCTTCACAATGAAAAGAGCATGCTCATTTCTGTCCAACACCTTTAAAATTAAGAAGAATTATATGATTTTAAATAGATTCATGTTAACATTTTAAGATAATTTTCCCAACTAACTGCTTTTGTCTTTGTGTTGCAGAGAATTAGAGAGTTGGAGGACAGGATTGACTTGCAAAAGAGACAAATAAAGGAAATAGAAGAAAAGGTACAAGTTCTGGTCAAGCAAGTGTGTCAAAGAATTTTGCAGGTTTTATTGTGGTTTTCTCAGGTCCTCATATCCCTCTTATGGTCTATCATTTTGATGAGGCACAGCCACAAACTTTAATGGTTTTAACCCCTTAGCTGTCACCCTCAAAATGATTATATGTAATAATGTAGTTCTGGCCATAATTTTAGAGCAATTGACCTGCTGAAAAAAAAACCTTCACTAAAGTCTCAAGTTTTTGCGTCTCATATTTAAGGATGCATATTCTATTTCTATTTCTGCTGCTAAATTTCTATTCACGCTGACCAACTTTCTTGTCCAATAATGATGTTTTGGGGTAATGCATAGAGTTAGTTTTCTGCACATATAAGGTTTTGCATGTAAACCACCATAAAAATGCACCAGACACTTTTTTTTTCCATTTGACACAAATTTTAAAAAATATATCTAAAATCCTTTCCACTTTCCATATGTGTACCACTGTAGGTTAGTAAAGTACACAAAATCCCAGTAAATGACATTAAACTTTGTGGTTGCAACAGATTAAATCTAAAATTATGTTCAAGGTGTGTAAAGATTTTTCTCAGGCTCTGAAGCTACTGTACTGATGTTTTGCCTATTTGACATCTTCTTCTGTTCTTCTCTCCTTTTTGTCATCTCCCAAAAACCCAAATCCCCCTTTAGTTTTTGTTCCTTTTCCTATTTTTCTCTTTGGCATTTATTCTTTGGCCTTAATGGAGGTGACCATGGACACTCATCAGGTAAAGACTCTGACCAGAATTTACTACATTCTAGTTCTTAAAACATAGGCATGATGGTTATAAAAAAGTAATTGTAAAACTTTTCTGTTTTTGTTTTTGTAGATATTGACTTGCTGTGGAGCAAAGCAAGGAATCAAAACTTAATTCTTTTTTATGTTTTGTTGACAGTTACAAACTTATGGCCTTTTTGATAATTGTGCACTTTGCAGAAGACCCTCTACTTGGAATGCAAGCAGATTAGAAATTTTTATAACCGTATATACTTGAGAGAGAAAAGTGACATAGTTTATTATTACAATTTTGCAATTGTCTTTGAACTTGAAGCATTGGACTTCTTTTGTGGGAATAAAAACTGATCTGTTGTGAGTACTGAACATTTTACTGAAGTGGAGAAAGAATGCCCCGTTGGAAAAGAAAAGCTGGGGGGAGGAGAAGTGAAAGTTCAGGGCTGAATGTGGGGGGTGAACGGGCTGAATGCCAAATGGACGCGAAGGATTCTTGTAATGAGTATGGAGTTTCTATGGAAACAGGAGTACAACTCAGTCCACATATCAGACATTGAACTTACTGGAAGGGGAAGATTTTAAGAGGTGGAAAAGCACAATCAGGTTTGTATAAAAGTTTATTTGGTTTTCTTCTCAAGTCTTTAGATAACACAAGCAAAGATGTGTGAAATCTGACTTCAGATTTTCATGTACAAACTAGTTAAGTATTTTTATTTTTTTAATAGAATAGCATTTTCCAGACTTGCTTGGCAGTCCTAAAGCGCAGGATCAAATTTTTTATGTTTGCATCAGGTGAGTTAATGACACTACAGTGAGGATTAAATGGGCATGTTCACAATTTTCTGAATATGCAGCACTGTCCTAAAGATTTATGGATGTGTCCTGCACAGTGAAAAAAGTAGAAGCTTCAGTAAGCAGAATGATTAGGAGATGGGGTAACCTGAGCGATACCAATGACCAACAACTTGCCAGCAAGTTGCTGACATGTTGAATAATAGATGAAGATATTTTAAGTACATCAGTTATTATGTCAGAAATGAAAATTTCATTAATATAACAGAAAACCTCACTGACTTTGCCACTCTACGTTTCTCAGCTCATGTGTCGCAAGTAAACTTTGCTCAGAAGACAAAGCCTGATCTACAGAGGATCACATGACCTCATCGGACTGAGCGGGTTCTAGAAGCAGCTGGGTTACTAGGACCTGACACGGACCTGCAGGTTCTGTATAACGTCGGGGGAGGACTTGAAGCACAAAGCCAGTTCAGTCATCCCAAGGAACAGGTGAGAACCCAGAGGAGATGGGATCCAGTAACACACCTGCTGCTATATGCTCACTTTTGACTGAGGAGGTATCAGGTATCACACGCACAACTGCCTGCACCCTGTCATGTAAACACAATGTTCAGGAGATTTTACCCATATCTCAAATTTTTTAATTTAGGAAAGTCTTAAAAATTTTACTTTGAAAATTTGACTGAAAGGTGTAAAAATGACATTATGTAAACAGCTGTTTTTAATCACTTTGTTGGCATCAGAGAGCTGCAAAACTCCAAGAGGAGCCTCCTGCCACGGTTTTGTCAGCTAGCGATTGCTTCTGAGCTCTCAGCATGCAGCTCTCTCACAAACTGGACCAGACACTCCATATGCTCAGACAGGAAGTCAGGACGATGGTGAGTGCTCTAGAAAAAAATTTATAACTCTGTGACTTTTTGGAAAATATGTCTTCAGAACTGTAATTCACTGCAGTAAGGAGTGTTTGACAAGATTTCATTACTTATATCCAACAATGTAACATACCACAGTCATGACTGAAAATTTTATTTGAAAATACACACCTTAGGAATACTTAGTGCCATTTTTGTGGTTTGACCTCATGTTTTTTTTCAGTTATCTTTTGCATATTTAATCTTGCAATACTTTTGAGGTTCAAGTTCAAGAATTGGTGGTGAAATATGTTTCTGGTAGACTGCAACCTAATTTATTTATTTGTATGCAAACCACATTTTGCTCTTAGAGCTTTTTAATGACAAAGGGACCTGAAAAACCAAACAGGAGTTCAGTTAACTAGAAAAGGTTTTTAAATCAGTTTCAGTAACTTTGATGTTAATAAGACCATAAACTGTTGGACCAGAGGGGATACGGTACAAAACCTCCTTTTCAGGGTAGGTTTTATTAATGGTAGCCACACACAATTTTCCCTCTTTATCTTTTCTGTCTGTCTTTCTGCTAGTTTCACATTTGGTATGGGACAGTGTTGCTACTAGGATAGGATTGAATAGGATTGCACATCAGTACATCTCTCTGCTCGGAAAGGTTTGCTATCTTACCCCAGTACAATCTCAAGAACACAGATCATTTCAGGAGACATTTAGAAGGCTGCAGATGGCCTTAACTTGTCAACATGCCCGATGTATTCTCCTTTTTACAAGAAGGAACGAAATGAGTCGTACCAGAGCACTACAAAATGGCCTCCACCTGTTGTGAAAATCCCAGACCAAACAATCAGCAAGAGACGTTTTAAGGCCTAAAAGCCCATTGTCCTATGGTGGGTCCTGTGCTCATTGCCTGGCAACATGAAGCATGAACATAAACAGTTTTCTCCTTTACCATTGAACATCAGCATTGTTAGGTTTGCCACTGCATAGGCAACAGCATCCTGGGTTCCTCTAGGTTTATGTTGATGCTCATCCTGAGCCCTAATCCAATAAAACATGTCTGGTATATCAAGTTCAGTCCATCCAATACTCCCAGTTCACAACTTACACTGTCCATGAGCTCAGTAACCAAGTCCAGATCAGGGGAAGAGAACCAGAACACTGCCTTTTGGTTTACTTTTTTTTTCTTTTCTTTCTTTTTGAGCAATGTGTTTTTATGATAGATATCCCATTAGTGCTGTTGTATCTTGGGTAAATCTGAAATTCTCTAACATTAAGTGCAGAGAAATAAAAACACGTTGGATGTTCATGTGAGCTGTTCAGTCTTCAAATGTTCTGTTTTTTGCAGCTGTTCAGAGTGAAGCTGTCTCAAGGTGATGTTATCAGCACAAAAACTGCAAGTTGGTGTCATCAGATAGGGATTTATGTTGCCATGTTGCACTTATAAATGCACATGGAGTCCAGATCCAATTAATACAAAAATATTTTTGAAGCAATTTACAAATTTTTTTTAAACATGAAATGGAAAGAATGCTATTATGAGCATATGCATGTTACTAAAATATTTTTTGTATAAAGAATTGTTGAGCTTTTCAGTGAAAACGAATTCAAAACATGAAAAAGTTAATAACATTTGCTTGTGATAACTCGCAAATTAACATCTGAAACGTCACAACTTGCAAAAAAGTTAATCTTTCACTAAATATGTGAAGATGAACTTTGCTAAATTACTTTGTTCTTCTCTCACTGTTCCTCCTCAGAGTCAAGAAAAGGAGCGAGAAGAGCATGTTTGGAGGGAGAGGCTGCATCGCTGCCAGAGGCAACTGAAGGCCAAAGATGAGGAGATCAGTCGTCAAGCCCAGTATTTTGAGAACTTTAAAATCAAGCTCCAGCAGAAGCTCAACCTGGCCCAAGACAGAGAGCAGAGTCTGCAGAATCGTATCTACAGTTTAGAAAAGCAGTTACTGGATGTGACTGTTAGCTGTGCTACAGGAATGGCAACAATCACAGCTGTCAGAATTACATCTGGGACTGTAAAACCCATGAATGAACCAGACAAGTTACCGTCTATGAGAGGAGAGGGGGAAGGAGAGGAGGAAAACAAGGAAGGGAGGAAGAAACAGTGGAAGCCAAATGTGGGACCGTTGAGTAAAGAAGGGACAAAGGTTGATGAGAGTCAGACAGACTCAGTCATAGAGGGAGGACACGACAAGGAAACAAAACCTACTTCAAAGGAGGCCAGACTGCAAAGCTTCATTATTAGCCTCCAGGAGGATCTCAAGGTACTGCTGGAGAGAGAGGAGGATGGGATGACTGAGCGGAGGAAACTGTTGGAGGAGCTGCAGGAGGCCCAGGAGAACAGCCACTTTCTGGGCTGCACAGTGGAGGAGTTGAAGTCAGAACTGCATCTACTAAGACAGTCAGAGAGCTCCATGATGAAGGAGGTGGAAGACCTGAGAAAGGAGAACCAGAGTCTCCAGGAGATTCTCAGGGATGCAGCTAATTCCACACCTCTGCCGTCATCTCTAAAACCTGAGGCAACATGTACCGTTCCTGTAGTGAACTTGCCACGCTGCTGCCCGGACACACCGGTCAACCCTCTGTCATTGGGGATGGCACTTGGACAATCTTCAACAGGAAGCCTAGTAGGAGAGGTGCGTAAGCAGCAACTAACTTTATCATCATATCCAGAACTTCATGTGATTATTTTGTTGAGATCAAAATTTTGTTTATAATCAAACTGAGAACATGTAGACAGTAAGAGACAAAAAAGTGCTCATAATAATCTGAAAACTGCTTCAAATGAGCACCACCTCTAATGTAATGTACCGAGGAACCCCAAACCCCAATGTCACACATTTTTAATTTTTAGATTAAAATGTGTGACAGGAGAGCATTAAACTTTCCACAAGTCAATGAGCTACTTGTTGCTGGACAACTGCAGTCTTCCTATAGAAAATAGTGCTCTGTCTCATTAGAGTAGCTAACTGCTCATCCTGTAAATCTAAAAAAAAAAATCTAATTAAGCCTAAATATATATTTAGAGATAAAAGAGGTTATTTTTGCTTAACTGCATGTTTCAGAAGGTTGTAAATTAGTATGTTACTGATCTAAACTTAGAAAATTATTTGGCAAAACCTATTCTGCTGGTTCACTTGGAAAAAATATCACCTTAGTGTTGACCACATATATGTTATTGTTACATTTTTTCCCACAAAATAAAATCTTACAAGAAATGTGCTTCAGATAATTACAAAAACAGGAAAAAATTAATAAACTACAAGGTTATATTTTTTATCTACTGTTCTAAACTATCCATAAAACTACTTTTTCTTGTTTAATGTATTTATAGATGTTAATTGTAGGTTTTTCCTCACTTGTTGAATTGGGGGAAACATAAAAAAAACATTTTTTTAGACTTATACATAGATACTACATTGACTGAATTTTTTGCATTACATTATAGGGTTTTATGAATGAACGTTGATCAATATTTTGCAGTTGATAACTGGCTCAGAAATGTTGTGCATGCATGAATCATTTAAAGAGAATCCTAAGTGTTAGCATCCTTTTAACATTTGCTACTTTTTTATTATTTGTAGGTGCAGTCACATGGAGTTCCTGTGTCACATCTGTCTGCAGTTCAACGCATTGACCATAAGGGTGCAGCAGAGCACTCACGAAACAACCCAAGTGATCATTTTCCACTATCTTCGAGGACAACAAAACTAAATCCTCCCAATAATGTTCCCCAAATTGGTTCCAAACCCATCCCAGGTTTCCAAACCCTTTCCTTTTCCTCTGAGTTCATAACTGAACCTAAACTGGGAAATGTGGAGGAAATTCCCAGCGCAGAATCCGATGCCCTGAGTGCAGCTTTCCACAGCTTGGGGTTTGGTGACAATTCAAAAGCTCTTAAAGAAGAACGTGACCACCTGGAGGATGAGCTTGAGCACATAAAAGCAGAACTGCAGGCGATGACTCAGGAGAATGCTGAAATAAAGTTACAACTCAGGAGAGAGACTGAAAAACAACAAAGTGCAAAAGCTCAGTTGTCATCAGAAGAAAGGGTATTTCATGTTTTTTTTTCTTTAAAATGTTTTCAAGACCAATTGTCACTTCCATTATATTTGTATTGACATTGTATCTTTTTATTGTTATGCTTTATAGATTATCACACCTGCCACCTGTGATCTAGATCATCCTCTTCCATTAAATTCTGCCGGAGATGATGCAGTTTTTGACCTTGCACAAAGTGAGCTCATCCTAGCCCTGAATCAGGAAAACCGGGCTTTGGCAGATAGGATCCAAGAGCTGCAGACTCACATTGAACTCAGAGAAGAGGAGATGAAAACGGAGCAAACACACCTGAGGGAGTGCATTCGTCGGCTGGAGGAGGATGTTGTCAGGTTGGAGCAGGAGAACCAAGAACAAGTCAGTTTGATCTCAGAACTCACCAGGAAGACTGAAGATGATCTGAATACCATTATGGAGCTTCGGCAAAAATTTGAAGAGAGCAAAGAGAAACCACAGGGTAGCCAGCACCGCAGATCTCTGTGGCAAAATGAACACGACACTGAAATACCAGGATGCCTCCAACAGGAAAAACAAAAAGAATGTGTGGACAGCTTAGTAGAAAATATGCTTAAAGAAGATAAAGAAACACAGTTGAGTTTCAGTCAAGAAACTGGCAGATTGACCACAGCCTCCTCGTCTGGCTGTCAGCAAAACATTCAGCGTGACTCATTACAAAACTGCTCTCAGAACAGCCTGCATGTTAGTTCTTTGACAGATGAAGTAGCCCAGCTCAACAACTCAATCCAGAGCCTCAAAACCGAACAAAAAGAGCTGACAGCCAACATCAGTTCTCTTCAAGAAGAGCAGAAAGAAGTCGCTTTGTCACTCCAAAGACAAATGGAAGAAAAACAGCAGCTAACTCGCTCAGTATGGGCGCTGAAGGAGCAGAAAGATTGCATCTTTCAGTCTCTACATGGACTTAAACAAGAGAAAGAGCAGCTGAGCAGGGTTGTCTGCAGTCTGAGGGATGAAAAAGATCAGTACACAAGGTCCAACAGTGGCCTTAAAGAAGAGAAAGAGGAACTAAATCTGTTGTTATCTGCTCTTCAAAGAGATAAAGATGTGATAAAAGAATCCATTTTAAGTGGTGAAGAAGAGAGGGATCGGATCATAAAGTCTCTGCAGAGTTTACAGACAGAAAACGAGCAGCTAAGCCAATCTGTTCTTCATTTGAATGAACAGCGAGACAAAATAGAAGAGTCCCTTAAGAGTCTCACAGAACAGAGAGACCAGAAGGAACTAACTCACACTTTAAAAGAGGAGCGTGACCAGCTAATAATATCTGTCAGCGGTTTGAAAGAAGAAAAGGAAAAAGTCGAGCAATCAATCATCTGTTTAAAGGAAGAGCAAAGAAACATAAAGCAAATAATCCTGAGTTTACAAGAGGACAGGTGCAGCCTTCAATTGCAAGCTGAGAAGACCCATCATGAATTAAGTCTAAGAAATGATAATATGACAAAGAGAACAGAGAAAGGGGATGATGCTCCAGGATGTGAGACCAGTAACAATAGAGGAAAGTCTGTGAAGGTACTTAAAGTAATTTCACTGACATATTAAGTCTTATGTTTTAAGTTCATACCCTAATAGTGCTGCAGTTCACCACACCTTGTTTAACTCAATGTAATTTCTATGAATGACAGAATGTAAGTGACCTGATGAGGGAAATTGAAGATTTGGGAGACGCATTAAAGAAGTCAAGAGAAGAAGTGGGAAAGAATCATGCAGAGGTGAGTGCAAGAAACTATGAATATGTCATACTTGTATGTACATGATAATTATTGTTTTTCTTTTATCTGAAGATAAGAAAGCTGCATACTGACCTGTCCCAGTCAGAAGCCAGGCGTGAAGCAGTAGAAAAAAAGTTAGCTGATCAGATCATGAAACTGACAGAATCAGCCAGTCAGAGGGAAGACATCATGAAGGAAAATGAGACCCTCACACTGCAGGTACTTCATTAAATTCATCTTAACCTCCTTTCATTAATATACTGCTGTGATGTTAATAAAATTATCTCACATCTTTTGTGTAAATGGAGTTCTACATGAAGAATCACAGATAAAACCTCATATAGAAAACACTGTTCTAAATGAAAAAGAAATAACTCCTAATTACATATACCCTCAATCATAAAAAAAAAACTCTTGTCCATCTTCATATGGCTAATCCTATTCTGGATGTTTTATGCATAGTTTTGTGGTGAATATTGTGTAGTTCTATTTAGTAAAATCCAGAAATCTTGGATATTCAGATTTTCCAAGAATGTTTCTTGAGCTAAGATCAGTTTTCACTGAACTTGATGTAGTTCAAGGAATTTTTGATCTGAAAGTTCAACTCAACGACAAAAGAAAAAGAAACATTCTCTGTGCTTCTCATATTTTTCTTAGACTTCTAAGAAGAAGACCAAGAAGACTAAAACCATAACGCCTGCTTTGATCAGAAATGCTCTATGATGCCCAAAATTTATCAGTTTGTTGTATTTTTAAAAAGAAGCCACCAATTCCTTACACCAGTCATACAATGATCCAATTAACTGAACACTCCCCCTGAACCTGGTAAAATATCTCTATAAGCCACTTATTTATCTCTCTGATTTTATGCTTTTGCAGACTCTCCTATCTTTATTTCAAAGGTTTTATTTCTGCTATTGTATATAAAACAAAGAACTCTTTTTTTTTCTAGAAGCCGTTTTTTTGTTTTCAAAGGCTACGGCGTCACAAGATTGAAATCAAACTGTTTTGTGGAGATGAAAGTCAGGTTTTCATGTAGTTTGGCAGCTTTTTGTTGTCGTGAGACAGTTTGTGCTCCTACTTTGTAAACAGAGCGTATATGCATTGGGTCTGACTAGTGGCTGTGGCTCATGCAGGTGAAGGAGCTGCAGGATAAAATGATGGTCCTGCTCACAGAGAAGACTGATGCTTTGTCTCTTAAGGCACAAACAGACGAACACCATCACATCCTTTCTGCTCAGCTCAAAGCTAAGGCACGGCTTGTTTATTTTTTTTATCACTCAGTATGAACCATCGAGGACATTTATTTAAGTAACAACCATGCGGCAATGACTTAAGGCTGATAAACGGATGTTTTACAGACATATAACAAGGTGATGGCAACATTTTCCATTTAATCAACATCATTGTTCTTCTGCTGTTTGAAGTAGCCCCATTAATTTGTCCTTGATGTGAAATATGTGTGTAACCCTCCACAGACTGTGGCTCTGGAGGAGCTGAACTCAGAGTACATCGCTCTGAAACGAGGACGGGGCAGGAGGGACGATCAGACCGCTGCGCTCGTCTCCCTCAGAGCACGCTATAATGACATCAGAGCTAAGGTGGGTAACCAGTCAGCAGCTTTTCTGATGTTCTGCCTTCATTTTTTTTTTTAGAATTAAATGTGTGTGATTTTATTTGCAGTATGATGCACTTCTTAAAAGAAAAAGCCAAACTGATCTGGATGTAGCTCCCTTAAAGGTGAGAAAACAAAATAATTTTTCACCTGAATCGTTTTAAATAGTTTTTGCTGCTTAACAGCTCCCTGTGCATGATTTTTGCTAACAAACATATTTTTTCCAATAATAGGCCAAGCTGTCTTGCCTGGTGGTGAAGTGTCAGGAGAGAAACATCTTGTTAGCTGAGATGATGAAGTCCATGCACAGAGATGGCAGTCTGGAGCCCAGGCTGACGCAGCAGGCCGAGCATCTGCTCAGTGATGCTGCTCTGCAGGATTACACTGCTGCATTCTCACCAGAAAGCAAAATACAACGCAGAGAGCACAATCGTGATTTTACACATTTCTTTTCAGCATTTCAAGGCTGCAACAAGGGAATCCTGCCTGACCCAACCTGCCCAGTTGTGTCAAACTGTTTGATTACGCATCAAAATAAAGTCTCAGCTGAATCTGGAGTTCAGTGTGGTGAAAGTGAAAAACACTCTTTGATATTTGCTAGAGAAACTTCAGCAAATCCCCAGGACTGCTGGAAAGTTGCACCTGCAGCAGCAGAAACACTGAAGGAAACCCCTCCTGGGTCAGTGTCTCCTTCAAGTTCTGGGGTGTCCTCTGTTGTCCCATTAAAGGAGATCTTCTCCACAAACAACCCCCAGGTGAGGAAATATGAACATTTTTAAAACATGTGTTATAAAGCAACCCTTCGCCATAGTTTACAAATAATGATGCATAATATAGCTAAGCCAAAACAATGGTTTTGTTCTTCCACAGCAGCTGATTATAAATAAACAAAGTGAAATAATGGATTTATAATTTTGATTACAGATATTTGATTCAAAGAGTTGAAGATGAATCCAAACACAAAAAAAGCAGATAAATTATGCAAATATTTAACTTGAAAGATACCAGAAAATTTCTCTGATACCTTTTTCAATTTGTAGGATGCTCAAGTTATACTTAAATTTTGTTTTATTGCACCTAAATAGTTAAAACCAGTAATTGTCCAATTTAAAGCTCCAGACAATCTAGTCATAAACTCATCTTCTGTCTGTAATGAGAATGTATGTATTCTCTGTTTGAAAGTTGTGTTGTTGTTTATAAATAACAAACAGTAAATGTTTATTAACCCCTGCTCAGCCATCTCCTGTCACCGCATCACTCGAAGCATCTAGCCGACCAGAGAATATCAACTTTCTTGATTTGGAGGTGAAAGACAAACACTCCTCAGATACAGCCAAGGTGGGAATACACTTGCATGGTCCTCCGTCAGCGTCCTCAAGCACACGGGTCAGTCCCAGCAGGAGACTCAGCAGTCCTGAGAAGATTCTCAACCTGCAAGAAGAACTGCAGAAGACACTGATGGACAGCTTTCAGGTAACCTGAGGCGTAAATGTTTAACATGTTTATGGCTTTTTAAGAACGCCTTTAAGTTTTAAAAATATATTTTAACACAAATCAAAGTAAGTGGTTAAGATGGTTCATGTTTCTGTGTGGTGTGTCTTCTTTTAAAGGCACCAGAGAGAAGAGGGCGAGGAAAGCATTCTCAGAGAAATCGCTCACCTTCAGCACCTGCAGACCAAAACTCACCCAAACCTTTCAGTGTTAAATGTACTGACTCTCTGCCAGTCTCACAATTTTGTTTCCACACTGAACACTCCCCAGACGTAGCTACTAATTCTGACACTTCTAAGAAATCACCAACACTGTTTAATGCAGTCACATCTCGGTCTACTAATGCCAAATTAAGTCCAAGCATGTTCACTTCCTGCCACCTTAAAGCAGACAGGTCTAAAAGTCAAGAACTTGTAATATGTCCTGATTTTTCTCTCAAGTCTGCGACTCACAGAAAAGACGGCTCCATCTCTAGTGATGACACCAAGTTATTCACGCACACAAAGAAGATAGAAAAGAAACCCATCCCCATGCTTGATTTATCTGACATTACACAAACGAATCCACTCAATACATACTGTAGTCAGTCTGCTCGTTTCTCTCCTGAGAAATCCCACAAGGCTGCTACGCATTCCACTGCTGCATTGGAAAATGCTTCAAGACCCAGACCAGGTAAGGTGAAAACTCACGATGTCTGGACTTTATTTTTCTGTGCGAAAAATAAAATATTGTCAGTGAGTGCTGTCTGAAAAGCTGAATCTTCTCTTATTTATCACTTCCAGAAACCTATTTCATATTACATTTGCTGTGTTTTGATTCCAATTTACATGATTTTTGAGACAGATAGATACACATATGATGCATTCAGGTGCAAATGGGCTATTTTTTATTTCTTTCCAGCAATAAAAATCTTGAACACTCTTACACAACTTCAGCTACTCATAAGTTTTAAGGTGAGAGACAAAAATTCAAGAAGATGAGGACCTGAGCAACTATTATTGTGTTGAGAAAGACGTTGCACTACATTACGCCACCATATTGGTTTTTCTTCTCCTATTCTTGTGATATTAGATTCCCTGCAAATATGTCCTTTTCTCTGTGCCTGTCTTTTAAATTAATGAAAACGTTGCAGCACACTCCAGTGCACATTCTTGTTTAGTGTTCCCCATTTCACTGCCTGCACTACACTCTGCTGTATACGATTATTACGTTTTAATGTATCATTTGGGCCTATTAGCTCTCTCTGAATGTACTGTGTTGTTTCGTTTCTTGTGGTTAGAATTTGAAATATGAAAACGGCTTGCCCTTCTACACTGAAAAAAGCAAAGAAAACTGAGTTTAAATGGCTCAAATTTTGCCTAACTTTCTTTAGAAGCTCCAGCGGAGGTTCGCTCTGTTGAGGTTATTAAAACAGTGGGACAAAGCAGTCTTTTGATTGGCTGGGAGAGGCCTCCTCTTGACGAGCTCGGCTGCAGCAACGACACTTTTGTGTATGGCTACAGGGTGGGTAGAAAAAATATGCTCTTTATATTTGCATGTTTTTTTTTCATTTACAACCTTGGGATGTTTACAATGTGTCTTGATCAAATACAGCATTTCATTTTCATCCCTCAGGTGTTTGTCAACAAGGAATTTCATAAATCTGTCCTGAGCTCAGCGTGTACCAAGGTACCAGCCCTCTTAACACTTTACAGATGAAATATGCTAAATTTTATTTACCTAAAACAAGTACTCATATGTAGTGTAATTTTTTTTTCTTTTAGTGTATTCTGGAGAACATCAACTTGAGTGAACCTGTCCACATTGGTGTTCAGACTCTGGGCTCTAATGGACTCCACTCTGACACCGTCTGCGCCCTTTATTTCAGCTCAAAAAGAGAAGAGTGACCCTCGTTCTAACCTCTAAGTGGGACAGAACAGCAGGTTAGATTTGTGTTCTTATTTGGTTAACCATCTCAAATGTGTTTTCGATCTTTGTATATCAGATGAAATGCAGCAAATTCTTTATGAAGGCTTTCAGTGCACAGTTGGTTTGTTTCTGCATATTTAATTTACGACGCAATGTGTAGCAGAAAACTAACGCAACACCCTGTGAACACACCGTCTCACAGAGAAACATGAACCTCCATTACTGGTGCCAGCGATTGTATAGTATGTACTCGGCTAGGGTTAAGCCGCAGCAAGCTTAAAATACACACACTTCTGGGTCAAACTGAGCCAAATAGGCACTGATGGAAAAGACCCAATAGTGGTGGCAGCTTGATGCAGGTCACTCCTTTCAGATTTTTATCTGTGAAGAATTAAAAAAAAAATTGCATTCTATTTCCATGATGATCTGAACCCTGTTGATCTGTCACATAAATCCTTTTTAGTAAAAAAAAAAAATGAAAATTAAAAAATTAAAACCAAATATAAAAACATTTTAATAAATTATTAAAATGGGTGTGGATATTTTTAAAGAATACTGTAAGTCTAGTCTGAGTAGATATAATTATTATTGTTTGTAAGTAAAAGCAATCACTTTAAAGTTTTCAACCAACTTTAAACCATCTTTTTGTCCTGTTTCCATGTGTGTTTGCCCTTCAGTTCACAGCCATCTATACCTGCAGTCCCCTGCGGGAGCGTCCAGCCCTCAACCTTACTTAAGTTAACTCTGCTGGAACAACGGTGCTGTTGGGAGAATCAGGCTGGCCAATCAGAGGAAAGACATCCAGCACTGTTTTTACCTGCCAGTAAGCATTTGGCAACCTGAAGCCGAAGGCTAAACCTCAAAGCAGTTACATGAAGATGTCAAAGGAAGTTCTGTGAGCTTTCTGCCACTGCAATCAAATGTAATTTCCTGTAAAAAAATAAAACTTGTGCCTTTCATGTTGAAGTAAGACCTGCAGAACCTTTTAGAAAAGGTGTTGTGACAACATGAAAGTCAGCTGTGACTGCCAACAAAACGTGTTCTAAAAACCAACCAAGTGTTGTCAAGGTAAACATGCATTATTGACTTTGTTCACGGATATGTTGGAGTGACATCTTCATCTTGTATGCTGTGTGGACCTTATGCTACATTCAAGAGCTCCGCTGATGCCTCTGGACTCTGAAGCTGAACATCCAGCTAAAGCAACATTAAAGACCCGTGGACTGAAAACACATCAGACGTGATGATCATACTACTTGATTTTTATACATGAAGCCAAATATATTTCAATGACTATTCACTCCAAAGACTTGTTTACTCTTTGGAGTGAACAAGACCACCGGATATATAAAACTATAAACATTTGCACACAGGGAACTACTTAGGTCTTTAAAAAGAAAGTTTAAAAATCACTGATATTTTTTTGTAGAGAATATTATCAAAACATATGCCAGTATACTGTACCTCACACTGTATGTCTTCTTGTATGGATGGCACTTCAAACTTAATGTTTGCACTCAAGAGTTTTGTTCCTTTTTTAAATGTTCACAACACAGTATATTGTTTTGCTACAGGCTATAAGTGTGTGTGAAGTGGACTCTTTGCGGCAAAGGTATTTTTCTATTAGTTATTAATGTTGAGTTCCCACAGATTCATTCTTACTGTACCAAGAATAAACATTTATAAGATAGTAAATACCCGGATGTTTGTGTGCCTGTCTATGTACCACAAAAACTTCTTACTATTCACAAATAAAAACATAATTATTGAGGTAAAATATTTCTCAGTTTTCCAAACAATAGAACTTTCTTTTAGCTTAACAAGCCCACATTCCCTTTATCGCTCTAACTTTGAGGTTCTTAATGCTTAATGAAAACCGCTCCTAATAAGCACTAGATGGCAGTCACGAGGCACTTACTTGTGAGGTCATGTCAAATCTGACAGGTATTATTAACAGAAGATTTATTTCAATGGTTGATGCATCAAAAGACATTTAATTTACTTAGAATGTTGGAGTGGCTGTATCTTAATTCAACGAGCCACAATACCTATTATTCTTTCAATGAGTGTGAAAGAATAAGAAGCACAAACAGCAAAAAGAAGCTTATTAATCACCTGCTGTGCTCGGCAGCTTTGAGAGCTCCTCTGAGATTGTTATTGCTGGAGCTCTGCAGAAAGAACGGGCCTACAGGCAGAGTAGTGTGTGTGTTATACTGTAGGTGTATAATTTACGGATTCAAGACGACTGCATAGTAAATTAACTTTACAAAGAATGTCTCAAAATGTTAGTCCTGCTGATAATTTCAATATAAAAAGCATTTTAATTGGTTATTTATAGAAAATGTACACCACAATATCTATCTCACTTACAGTGCTTTATTCTAATTTAGAACACTTTCCCTTCGAACAATAAAACAAGCTACACATTTTGTATGTATTTAATGTAAAAGATTGCAGGTTAAAGGATGTAATGTGTGTAAAAATTTGTAGTTAAAAGCTTAGTTGGTAGTGGCTTCTCCCTACTATTTGAAAAAACATGCATTACATTGTATAATGATTACAAATCAACTGTAGGTCAGGATGCTTCATAAGCCTGCAGAAAACTAGTGTTGGATCACTATTATTAGCTACGGTCTTATTCATATTCCTGAACGCTTTTCATATTTTGACATCTTTCAACCACAAACCTAACTCATTTTTTGTGAATGGGAAGAAGAAGAAGAAAATGTTTTCAGCATAATATTTTACTTTGTAAAATTCTGACATGTCACCTGTGAACATCAACTTATGAATCTTTCCGCAGATTCTCAAGTGAGAAAAGGTTTCAGGTTTGACTGGACCCTTTTGATGCAAATTGACATACAATCTTATGTCATTAACAGGCTTTCTGCCAAGGTTGCTCCATCCCTTTCCCAGTCCATGCAAAAATAGGCATCTGGACCGCTGCCATGTTTCACTATGGAGATTATGTGTCCATGGTGATGCAGTGTTTTGCATGTGACTAAAAAGTTACATTTTCATCTCATCTGACCTCATTTTCTTCTAAATGACTGCTGTGTCCCCGAAACCTTAAATTGGACTCCTTCCACACTTCTTTCATTTTGAATGTACACACATGAACTCTTCTTAAGTAATCATGTTTGAGAGCGAGTGGTTTCAAAATATCAGTAGGAAGGGGCTGAAAACAAACATGTGCCGTAGTTTTCAGGTTTTTGTTTTTTTAAAATGTATTAAAATCTTTATCTTCCTTTTTTGGTTGGTTTGTGGTAATAAATCCCACACACACAAAAAAAAAAAAAAACACTGAACTTTGTGCTTGCATTTTGACAAAGTGTAAAAAAATTTGAAGGGGTGATAATAAAATTACAAGGTATCATAAAAGACTGACAAGATTATTGCTGAAGGTCCTTTTGCTACAGTTTCCTCTGTGTGTATCTGAGAGTGTATGAGCCCTGCAGGGGATATACATTTCCAACTTGAAGGAAAGTATATGTGTGTTTGTGTGTGTGCGTGTGCATGTGTGTGTGTGTGTGTGTGTGTGTGTGTGTGTGTGTGTGTGTGTGTGTGTGTGTGTGTGTGTGTGTGTGTGTGTGCCGTCACCAGCAAGGTTAACGGGGGGCTTTCTTGAAAAAGAGATGCGAATGAGAAAGAGAAGCAGAGGGATGGAGTGCTGATGTTGTAATTTCACCCAGAGGCGACGCTGTCACTCCATCACTCCCGCTGACGCCTGAAGAGTCGGGGGGTCAGCGAGTGGAGGCGGGCGGTGTTTGGAGCGTGGGCTGCTCACACCCAGAGATCAGCTCTATAATAAGAGGGTTTCTGCTGCTCGTGAGTCTGGGCAGATGTGTCTTTGTTGCTGGGGGTGGTTATGTTTTGTTGCGTTGTCATGCAGTGGCGTTGTGGTAGATATCGTCCCTGCTGGGAGTCCCTGCAGGCGTCTTTACTTCCTAGATTCACAAACGCTCCTGAAAATGACGAGCTGAAGGGAAATCATTCAGTTTGTGTACATGTGCAGGATTTTGTGTTTGTGAAACCTTTCCTCTCGCCGTGTTTCCGCCTGCTGGTTCTATCAGTCCATCTCAGAGATGATATATTTAGAGGCAAAGCACTATCAGAGCTCACAGCTGACCGCCTCTGATTCGATTCTGACAGCATTCAAAGCAATCCCTTCTCTTTTTGTCCTGCTCATTTTTCTGCCTGCTTCTTTCGTCTTTCTCTTGTCAACATCATCTATCTTTTTTTCCCCGTCTTTGTGTTTCTTTTTTCCTCTTACATACATTTTGCCATGTGCTTATGTTCCTTCATACACTTCTTTAAAGGCCTTCTTTCTTCCATGAATTTTATTTTAACCCATAACCCATTTCTCTCACTTTTTCCTTTTTTTATCTGGGCTTCATTACAGCTGTTGCATTGCGAAATTTGATCTCTTGAAAACTCTTTTGTCTCGTCTCTCTTCCGCTGTTGTTTCCTCCCAATTTTCTCCACAATTCCATGTTCTATAATCCACATCCACTCTCGACTAAATGCATGCAGAAACACACATCAAGCTGAGCAACTTTTAATTTGTGGAAAAAAAAAAAGACAAGCAATTAGTTGCTATTACATCCTTGAATGTGCCTGCAAAAGCAAGCCTAATCTCATTAATCACAAACAATGGGGGCGGTAATCGAGAAGCATGTTTATGCAAATCCCCACACACTGTAATCTCCTACATGCTTGATAGCCAAAACAGAGGAGGTGTGCTTGCTTTTAAAAATATTTTTCTGTTCGTTTGACTTTGTCATGTTTTTCTTCCCAACCACTGCAGGTGCTTCCGGGACTGCAGGTCTGAAGGAGTGTACTTTCTCAGGACAATCCTGAGAAATTATTGATTCCCATTGCTATCCCCCCTACTTCTGATCACAAATAGCCCTGATATGTGGAGCACAGAGTTTTACACCCCACCTCCGTTCAGCTGCACGTCCCTCCTCATTTTCCTCTGCCTCCTGGCAAATTCTCCATCTCATTTCCTTTGTCAACCATCAGTTCTCCCTGTTTCTTCTGTTTTCATGCTTTCCATTTGCATGTTTATTGTTTGCCTCTCTTTCTCGTTTTCCCTGTCCCTCACATTGTGTCTCCTCGCGTCTGTTTCTTCATTTATCCACATTTTAACTTTCCCATTATTGTGCTATTTCTTTCCACATCTTTCATTGGAGCTGTTGGTCCAGGAGACAAACATGATTCGCAACTAAATATAGCCTAGGTAAAACATATTAAGATTATCTCCGTACATCCTCTTTCTTCTCCCTCACGAGCACCCTGTCTTTTTTCCCATAATATCTTCTCTGTTTTAGCCTTCATCTCTCTTGAGTTATGTGCCAGTTTCAGATGAACATGACGAAGATGGCGCAATGTAAATCCTGGAGCTATCAGAGGCCTGATAAAGGTCAAACACTCCCTGACAGCCTGAGGAAAAGTGGATCCATGAGTTGTGTTGAGGGATATTTTGAGGCATGTCATAATGTATCTAGACTGGTTGAAAGTTGTATGTATTTAGATTAATCAGAAATTCTTTAAAACACCAACTAATACTTGTGAGATGACACACCCGGACTTTAGGGAAGAGAAACAAAACAATGTAGAAATAAAGCCACATTAAGACCTTTTTAACACATCAGACTTACAATGAGGAATGCTAGTGGAAGCATCATGCTGTGGGAAGGCATGAAGGGGAAACTGGGGAGAGTTGACAGGATGATGAATAAAACTAATCTCAGTACAAATGGGAAGAAGGTCGTTTGAGGGTCTTAAAGGATTGAGACGAGAATCTAATGATTTGGTCTGATGTTCACTGATGCGTTTTGACCAACTGAACTGAACGTGAGCTATTTTGAAAAGAAGAGCGGTTAAATATTTCAGCAATGTACAATGGTGGTAAAGACCTACCTCAAGATGCTCGCATAATTGTGCTGCGATTCATAGTATTAATTCATGTGATAGAAATAAATTTATAAACCTCCCCACTCTGCTCCTTCAAACTAGCAACGGCAATTAGCAAACACCTGGTGGAAGTGCACTTCTGCTCAGCTTGTCATATGAATTATTTATCAGTTCAGTACTCCGACAAATGTTTGACGGAGAAATGTTGACGTGATGCGTCAACATTATCTTATCTGAAAGAGCAGGAAGTTCTTAAAAAAAAAAAAACAGAGGCCCAATTTCAACCCGTTAATTCGCAGAGTCAAGTTTAAGTCAATGTCATCATTAATATGTAAAGCATTTTTATGACAACTGAAAGTGACATAATTACTTGATTGTGCTATAAAATGACACGAAGTGGCTGGAAAACACGTAATACTGCCCCTTTAAAAAAAATAACTATTTTGACATTTTTAAAAAGAACTTTGAATTCAGTTTTATATCTGCATATAAAAGAAAACAATATCATGTATCATTGTCTCATTATGTTTTACCTCAACCTATTAAAATCATACAAAGAAAATATAATTTAACATCTGTAATATGAGATGATATTACAGATATGTCTATTCATTGATGAACAAATTGGACGTTAGGATTAATAAGGTGGTAGTAGGAGTGTTTGGTCTCAGTGTGTGTGCGTCTGCCTGTGGAGATGGAGCTCAGTGTGGGAGCTGTCCACCGTCACTGGTGCTGAAAGTGGATTGATTCCCCTCTTAAGTAAAAGTAAATTTGATGAGCAGGAGGGAAGTAAGGAGGAGGAGCAGCAGGAAGACGAGAGTGCAAACCACGAAGAGTTCAGAAAATTGCTTCATTACT